CGAGAGGCCAGCAAGGGTGACCAGCTGCAGCCTCCCTCCTGTGCTCATTCTTCTCCAGGGAAAGGAGACTGGATCCCTTCGGTGAGAGTTGAGGTCCTTGTCACAGAATCACCGAGTCAATGAGGTTGGGAAAGCCCTCTGAGGTCATTGAGTCCAACCTGTGACCGAGCACCACCGTGCCAGCCAGCCCATGGCCCTGAGTGCCACGTCCAGTCTTTCCTTAAACACCTCCAGGGATGGTGACTCCACCACCTCCCTGGGCAGCCCATTCCAATGCCCCATCACCTTTTTTTGCAGAAATTTTGAAGAAATTCCTCCTATGTCCAGCCTAGGAGGAGAGAAGAGACCAACCCTCACCAGGCCACAGCCTTCTTTCAGGTATTTGAAGAGAGTGACCATGTCACCCCTGAGCATTCCCCTCTCCAGGCTAAACACCCCCAGCTCCCTCAGCTGCTCATCACAGGACTTGTGCTCCATCCCCTTTTCCAGCTTCATTGTCCTTCTCTGGACACACTCCGGCATCTCAGTATCATTTTTAAATTAAGGGGCCCAGAACTGGACACGGGACTCAAGCTGTGGCCTAACCAGTGCCAAGTACAGGGGAAGAATCACTTCCCTGGTCCTGCTGGCCACACTGCTCCTGATACAGGCCAGGCTGCCATTGGCCTTCTGGGCCACCTGGACATCTGGATGTTCCACCAGATGTCAGTCAGTACCCCAGGCCCCTTTCTGCCTGGCTGCTCAGTCCCTAACCTGTAGTGCTGCGGGGGGTTGCTGTGGCCAAAGTGCAGAACCCAGCACTTGGTCTTGTTAAACCTCATATTGTTGGATTCAGTCTGCCCATGTCCCTTTGCAGAGTCCTCCTACCCTCTAGGAGACCGACGTTCCCCTACAACTTGGTGTCATCTGCAAATTTGCTTATGGGAAACTATTGGACATAATTGGAAATGCTAATGGAGAAGGCAAACCTTTCAGTTAAGAAAAATAGCCTTTTTTTTTTTTTTAATTATCCAAAAACTTTTGCAGTGCTGAATTTAAATCAGCAGCTTTAAAATTATCCTCACTTCACAAAGAATTAGCAGCCTTACCAAATATTATTATTGTCACAGAATAAGAATGGCAATTATTTTCGGCGGAGGAGGAAGATGATCTTTTGTGTGTCACCCCCACTATAAAACCCTATTTAAATTGCCATCCTCAGCTCAGTCTTGGCCACAGTTTTTGGCTGCAGGTGCCTTCATCCTGGAGTTTTGCCACTCCACAAAATGACGGCACTTCTCAAATCAGGAAGCGACATCTGGGTAGTGGGACCCAGTCAGACTGCAACCCCCACAGGGAAGGAAATGAGAAAGACATCTGCATCATTGAAACCTTACAGGACAGCACAGTGTGTGTGTGTGTGTGAGGGAAGATGGGGGAATCTCCAGAGAAATCCCACCTGCTCTCCCTTCTCCCAACAAGCCTCCCGTGGCTGTCACCCAAACCCCTACACTTGCCCACTGATCCAGGCTCAGAATAGCTCCTGCCAGCAGCCCGGGAGCTGTGGCCAGCTGACACTGGAGATGGCAGATGAAGGACATGGGGCTCTGTCCCCATAGCACCCCACTGCTGGTGACCTCCTCCTTCTGCACCCCTGTGGCTGCACCCTGGGCTCTCATCACAGCCCCATGCTCAGAAAAAGAGGGAAAAAAGAAGAAACAACATAAGGCAGGAGAGGGAGGGGAGGATGCAATGCAGCCTGGAGCAGGGCAGGCTGCACTTGTGCTCTAGCTCTGGCACCAGCCACCGTGCTGCCCAGATGACCCTTGGGGGGGGGGGTCCAAAATTGGATCCTTACTTTTGGGGATCTTCCACATCTCATGCCCACTTCCACAGCCCTTTGGGAATGCCAGCATCCCAGCAGGAGGAGAGCCCTGCATTCCTTGGAGGTGTTCCTGGGAGTGAGGGGAGTCAGTCCCTGTTGCAGCAGCACCTCGACAGGAGTGCAGAGGCTCTCCCTGCACAATCTGCCTGCCACCACCGATCACTTCAGGTGTCACATGAGGTTTGTGTCACTCAGCAAGGTTCTACTCGCCTCGCTAGCTGTGACCAGGATGCAGAATGGGTTTTAAATGACCCCGTTTGCTGTGGGAGAGGGGGAAGTTACCCCCCAAAGCCCAGGGGATGTGCAGGTTTTCCCCATGCCTGCCTTGGGCCTTTTCTTGGAGCATCCTCTGAGTGGGGCCAGGCCGACGCCATAGGGCTGAGCATGCTCCTCCATGAGGCTGAGCATCTTCCCTACCGAGCACAACCCTGACCCTGCATCCCCAGGGTGCTCTGGGGGACGAAGGTCCTGGGCACCCTGAGAGCATTTGGGACAGCTGCTAAGGGGCAGGAAGGGGGTTTCCCTCACACCCCAGTATCGTCCCTCTGCCCAGGTGCAGCTGCAGTCTGGCAGGTAGCTCTGGAGGCAGGTGGCATCACCCCAGGATTTGGGTGGAAGGGGCTGTATGAAAGGGTTTGGAGGGGGTTTTCTGCAGGTGGGGTTTCTCCAGACAGTAAAGGTGAGTGCATTGCAGTCCCTGTCCAACTGCTCTGGTTGCCGAGATCCGGCTCCCTGGAAAGCCCACTATGGTGTCTTCACCGTGATGGGGAGAATGTGGGGCTATCCCTTGGCAATCTCTTTCTGCCAGGTGAGCTTCTGTCTGCTCACCACAGCTGCTCAGGTGGTTTTGGGCTGTTCCCTCACTTTATACCCCTGGGAAGCTGCTCAGTGATCACAGCCAGCAAAGCCGGGAGCTGTGGGGGCGGCCCCAGGGGAGAGCAACAGCCCACAAAAGCAGTGAGGAAATCCCCTCGGTGCCAGGTACCAGGCAGGCACTGTGCCCCCTCCCACAGCTCCCTCGCACTGTAAAATAGCGGTGAGTCTGCGGGTTGTGTGTGTGAGTGTGTTTGTGTGTGAGTGTGTGTGTGTGTGTGTGTGTGCAGATATTGTGTTTGGAAATGACCAGTGCAACATCTCTGCCTCTCCCTGATGTGCCTGTGGACCGAAGCGATCCTGACACTAAGCAAAGGAAAAGGAGGCTGATCGAAGCTGAGTGGAATTTTTTTTTCCCAATCTTTCTTTAAGTGCGAACACCATCTGTCTCCCCCAACTCTGTCAGCGCTTCCAGTCCCCAGGCAGCTTCGTTCTTCCTAATTACTGTCATTAGGCACTGGGTAGCAATTAGGGAGGGATGCTGATGAGCAGCATCAGGAAGGCTGTGGTCCCCTGACAGCATCGTACAGGGAGCTGGCCAGCCCTTTCTCTCCCTGGCCTTTTCCACTTGGGGAGCTTGTGGGTAGCACGGTATTTTCCTTTTTGGCAGAGGCTGACAGGGAGGGGATGGAGAAGGGAGGTGCTGGGTGGCAGGTCCATGTCCTGGAGAATGCTCAGAGAGGTCTGACACCACTGGGAATGAGCTGCTCGGGGAGCAGGAGGATGTTCGAGGTCCTCAGTGCTGTTGGGGGATGCAGCAGCAGCTCCCTGTGCCTCTGGCTGCCCCACAGGTGTGCAGTCACCAGCGACATTTCTCCCGGGCAGCCCAGGGGCCATGGTGCTGGGCTGTGTGCTCGGACAGAGTCAGACCCAGCTGTCACCCTTCCCTCTGGCCCAAGTGGGGCTGGCCACAAGCCCGGTCCCCGGCAGCCCTGGGGCACTGTCCCTGCGGCGTGTGGTGTCAGTGCCACCTCGTGGCAGGCGCCCCGGGACTGCTGACCTCTGTCCTCCTCCCACGGCAGCTCCCCAGGACTGCAGGGCACCTGCGTGTCGCCGTGCCATTGCTGGCGCTGGGATGTGAGCGATGGGAAGGGCTCCTGTGGGATGGGATGAGGTCCGTGTTCAGCGAGCAGACGATGGGGTGGCCCCACAGCCCCGTCCTTGCAGCAGGTGGGGGATCAGAGGCTGCACCCAGAGACACGCAGACCCTGTTGGACGTTTGCCATTGGGACATTACTTCATGTATGGGATGAAATGGTGCCCCCTGCCCTCCTGCCCTGCCTGCTGTCAAGGCCCTGCCCATGGAGGGGCAATCTGGGTCTGGGGGGCTTGGGGGTCTTTGGGCTGGAGTAGTTGGGCCTGTGGGTGAACTATCAGGACACTAAAGTGGGGGGTGAGCCAGTAATGGGAGTGGAGAGGAGCAAGTGAGGGAGGAAGGCCTCACTTTGGAATCTGGGAAGCCTATGGGATTGAGAAGGGTTTGGCAGACACAACTGGTGGCTGCAGAAGACCCTTGGCCAGGTTCATCTCCTCACACTGCCATGCACTGTTGGCCAGCTGGCTCCTGACTCTAGGACCATGGACGAAAACAAACCCACGTCCATAGGGACACCAAGGCTTCTTTCCTTTACCACCAGCGTTTTTGGTGAGACTTGCAGGAGCTCAAATACGCTCAGGACCTACTCCAAAACAGGGTCAGTGGAGCTGAAATGTCTAGGGAGATACTGAGGTGATTTTGCAGTGAGGAGGGCTTTAGCCTCAATTGCTTTCTCTTGCCCAGGGGTTTCCTCAGACTTTCCCCTGGCTCCCTCTGAAACCCCATGCCCCTGCATGCACCCAAGTGAAGCCCAGCTTCTGCAGCCTTTCAAGGCAGTTGTGCAGGCAGTGCCAGGCTGAGGAGGAAGCACAGCTCCTGCCTCACAGAGGGAAGTGAGAAACTGCTATGGAAAGTCAAAGACAGGCAACGTCCCCACCCCAAACCCCCCAAAAAAGACTTTCCCCAGTCCTTGTCCTAATGGCCAGCTCCCGGCACGGCTGTGGGGAAATGCAGGTGGTCAGGCTTGGCTGGTTCCCGGCCATGCAGGTGGCCATGTACAGGGAATGTGTTGATAAAGCCACTGCCAGGGGAACCTCTTCAACTCAAATCCCTGCTGTACCCCAAGGACCGTCATGCTGGAGACACCTAAAGCCAGGAAAATGGGGACCCCATTCAGACCTCTGAGCATGCATTGACGATGGATTCACTTTATTCTTTAATTTTTACTGCCATATTTTTAATCTCTATTCCCTTGGCCTCCCATGCAGACAAAATGGAGAACTCTCTGCCCTGTACATAAGGATGGAGAAGCACACAGAGCAGGTTACAGATCTCTCCTGGGCAGACTGAGCAGAAGGGGAGCACTGCCCCACCACAGCTGGCAGACATGATGCAGGGAAGACACCTCACGTGCCATAACAGAGAGGAGATCCAAGGGGCACTCACTGCTTGAGGAATACAGTGTGGATCCAATTGCCACTCTGAGTGCTGCAAATGCCAGTGGCATCCTGTACAGGGAGATGTCTGGCTTAAGCTCCAGCAGAAATGAGAACAGAAGTCCTTGCCTGAGCAGAAAGAGGAGCTTTTTCAATAGGATTTGTATGGGTGTTTCTTTTTCAAATTCCCAGATCATTTAGGGTGGGCAGTGCATCCACAGGTCTGGGCTGCTGCTGTCACTGGAAGGAAAGTGGAGGTGGCTCCTGACAGTTCTGCTCCATTTTTTTATCACCCCCATCTCCCCTGAAACAGTTGCTCTGTCTCCCAGAAGCAGTTCTTCTAGTGACAAAACATCTCCCGACCTGGCTTCAGCTCTTTTCCCCCCTCCACATACACACAGGTTGTTTGAAGTTACTTCACAGGGTTGGGTGCGCAGCATGAGGATGAGGAGATGTCTGATTCATGCCGTAGCAGTACCTCCTCTGCAAAGGGCAGCAAGGCTGTTTGGGTAGCTGGGACATCAACCTTTGAGCCCCCAGTTTCTGCCACAGGTGTCTGGAGCCCCAGGAGACAGTCACTTGGCACATGGACCACCTCTTCCACCATCGTCAGCCCCAAGGCTGAGATGGGAATCCATCCCATCCTAGATCATGTGGAGCCTCAGTCAGATGAGAGTTCACCTCTGCCAGTCTGTGAAGGTCTGGGAGAGGAATTGTGGTGAGTAATTTTGGCCTTGCTCCTGTGGCAGCACCTGTGGTTGCCCTTATGAGACAGATTCCATGAGTCTGACTGCAGTGCAGAAAGGGGAGAAGAGAGGGGTCACCCTTCAACAGTAGCACCTGTTCTGCAGCCCCAGAGAGAGCTCAGGCTTGGGCAGGGAGTCACCTTCCCATCATCAGAGGGACATCCCCTCCACACAGTGCCTCCAACTCACCCTACTGGGAATATGGCACTTGGTGGCCCATTAGTGCCTGGTGTCAGTGCCCCCAAACCTTGCTTGTCCAGCTCTGTTCAGTGTCCAAAACCTCCCAGACAAGGAAGCCACCTCATCTAAGGAAGAGCAGACCCAGAGATTGTGCTTCACGTAAATAGCCCCTAAAGCACTTCTAAGTGACTAATCACCTTCTCCAGGGGCTTCTCACCCAGCCCAGAGTCTCTGTTCAGCCAGAGGGCATCAGCTGCTGTAATTATTCAGAATCATCAATCCCACACAAAAGAGCTCACTTCGCAAAGAGAGCCCTTCCTGTGCAGTAAAGGCACTCACAGACGGGTGAAGAAACCCACCTGCAGGGAAATGCCTGGGATCAGCAATGCTGGCCAGCTCTGGCACACAGGCAAAGCCTTGAGGACACTGTCATAAATTAAGTCATCCTGCCTACGCTCACATCACTCCCTGACTGCTTTCGTGCAGTGTGGAAGCACCCATCCCAAGTGACACACGGTATTTCTGCAGCGACAGTGAGCTGAAGTGACGGTTGTCTGGGGCTGTAATGACACATCCAGGGAGCTCCTCTGGACTGGCTGTCTCCACTGCTCCTCCCTAACTTCAGGGACTATAGGTCAGAACAAGGACAGATTTTTTTTCCCCTCTTCACTGCTTGGGAAGATGAACTTTTTTTCTATCCCCAGGGTACCTGGCTGTGGCGGGAGTGCTGGTGGATGCCTGCCACCATGTGAGAGAGCCCAGAGGGTGGGAAGACCTGGGTATCACAGAGTGCAGAAGACAGGGTGGCAGGACTGTAAATGGAGTAGATGCTGGGTGTGCCTTGCTTCACATCGCCTCAAGTCCACTTTTATTGAGGTCCGTAGCAAAACTCGAGCTACTACTGTGTGGGATTTGGCCCTAAAGTAACTCCCTGCTTCCTTTTCCCCCGCAGTTTCTGGTGTTCCAGCCCCATGTTCCCAGCAGTTACCCACTGAGCAGGACACCTGCCCAGGCACAACAGCTGCCTTGCAAATGGCACAGCAGTCCTTGCCACACTCCATCCTCACAGGCTGTGTCTCTGCCTCCTCCCTATGGTTCAGCCATGGCAGCTGCTGACAGTTCATTGTAACTCAGCATGATCCACTTCGGCTTCCTCCAGCATTTACACATGTAACCTGGGACTCAGCACAAAAAGGACAGTCATCTTAAAAGGCTGATCTTGGTCCTCATGGAGCTCATACCCATGGAAGGCTTCACTCATCCAGGAGCAGGCTCTCAGTATCCTCAGGGATTGGCCAGAGCTCTCCAGCTCCATTCCCCTTGCCCTCAGACTCTCTCCTCTCTGGCGCAGTTCTGGGTGGTTTTGGTGGTGACCAGTGCTGTGGCCCCCAGCTCAGTGGCAGGCAGTGGGAAGCTGTGGTTGCATTCCTCAGGCCGGGGGTACACAGCGGAGAGCAGAACAATGTCGCCATCAGCATCGCCCTGGCAGCACGGCCTCTGCTTTGCCCTGGCTTTCCTGGGTGTCCCCGGCATCTTCAGGCTCCCAACAAGGTGCAGGCATGGGGCTGGGTTCAGGGCACCCTCTCCCTCAGGCATGGCAGAGTCCTGGCTGGGCAGGGGGCTGGCAACGTCTATGTTTTCTGGGAAGGGACAAGAAAAGGGGCTCATGGAGTGGGGTCAGGCAGGTCCCAGTGAGACAGTCCTGTCCCCAGGGGAGAAGAGGGATCTGGAACAGGAGGAGTCTGCAAGGTTCCCACATCTCTCCTGCTGCAGAATTTCTCCTGCTTACAACCAATGTGCTTTTCTCCCCCTAAAAGGCAAGAGGGAAGGGCCGAAACTTGCACTTCCACTTCGAGTCCTCTCGCTCAACTCTGCTGGCAGCAGAAGAGCCCAGCCCATGGCAGCTTGCCCTCCCCGACTGCCTCCCACTTAAAAATAGACTTGTTTACACACTTTGAACGCAGGCGTGTGCCTCCAGCCCCAAGCCTCCTGCCACTTCCCACACATCCAGCGCCGCAGCACTGGCCTTGCTGTGGTGCAGCCTTGGGGGACACGGGGGATGTGGACCAGGGTACGCAACAGGAGGCTGAGGAGTGCCTCCAAAATGGCCAGATCTCTCTCACCGCTGGATTTCTCCCTTCTCTTTCGCTTTTGGTATTTTTTCTAGGCGTGTGCGTCATGGGCTGTCACAGAGCAAAAAGGCCCTGGGTAATGTCCCCCTGGTCTGAGTCACCATCCGGCAGTGCCAGAAGTGTGCAGGCAAGCAGGGCACAAGGACCAGCTGCCCCACTGTGGACACCCCCCTGGGTCATGGGGCAGTGTGGCATCCCTGTGTGGCAGCCCCTCCTGAGGGTCCTGGGCAGCCATACCCCCTACCTGGGAATGGGGAGCGTGAAGACCACTTTGGAGAAGATTGTTCAAGGCTGAATCAGTGCCAGTGCAGGGACCGCTGAGGGAGGAAAGAGCTGCCCCAACAAAATGGGCCATCATGGAGCACTGTGGCCTTATTCTCCTGGAAGTACCCTGCTAGGAAAGGCTCAGCCCCATTCCTTGAACCCCAGCCCTAATTTTGATGCACCAGATAACCCTGTGCAGTGCTGCAGTGTACTGTCAATGGGACTGGCCCTGACATCCCACTGGGGTCTTTGGGATGCACGTTGGAGGATGCTGGGCATCTCGAGCACAAGAAGCAAGCTGGGTGGTCCACATAGGACCCCCACGGCTGTCACAGGGAGAGGCTGCCTCTGGAGCCATCCCCAGGTGTCCACCACTGCCCCCACTACTCCCATTCCATCCATGTTCCTCTGGCTAGTGGGGGAGAGGGCTCTCACCAGGGAGCTCACAAAGCTCCTACTGACCAGCGCTCCGTACGTGTCCCCTGTGGAGAGGACATGGTGCCAGGACATGCTTTAAACAAAGGCACAGGGAGGGATGGCTCAGCAGGGTTGTGCTGGCAGTCAGGTACAGGCGTAGGTTCCCAGGGGATGCAGGGCACTGTCACTCAGACAGTGACTCAGGTGCCCCAAAATGCCATGGGATGCCTGTGGAGCTGATGTTGAGGTGGAGGAGCTAGCCTGGGCTGTGCCTCAGTGGAGCCAGCAGTAAGTGATCCCATCTACCCCCGGGTCCTCAGGGGGTTGTGGGAGGGAGAGGAAGAGGTCTCTTACCTTTGTCCTCTTCATCTGCTGCCTTCCTCTTTCTCCTTCGCTTTCCCTCCTTGCAGGCCAGGAAGACGCAGACGGCAGCCAGAACCAGGACGACCCCCACCACCACCGGGACCCCGAAGGTCAGGAAGGTGCTGGTCAGGGGGGGTGCCAGGGTGGGCTCTGCTGTGGGGTGAGATGCCGGTAGTGTCAGGAGGGGGAAAGCTGAAGGAGGAGGGAGGGCAGCAGCACTTTTCACCTGTCTGGCTGGCCTGGGGGCTGCGGTCACAGGGAAATGTGGCGCTTAACTGTGACCCACCTGCCACCAGCAACAAAATATCCCATGCTTGATGAGATCCCTAGGGTGAATCATCCAACTTCTCCCTACACCATGTTCCTCTCACTGGAACTGGCTGCCCTCCTCCCTTCTGCTTTAGATGGAGATGGTGCTCCATCCTCCGTTGCCACCTCCGTAGCCATCCTTAGGAGGAGGTGCCTTCCACCTGCCCACGCCTGGGGTGCCCCCAGCCTCCTTGGCCCACCACCATCCAGCCCTGGGGAGCTCAGCTGCCCTTGTCCCCTTACTTGTGTTGTCCTGGAACAGGTCGGAGCACTTGATGCACGACTTGGTCAGGGTGTCGAAGCACTCAAAGGAGAGGCAGGAGGAGGCAATGGCAGCTTTTCCTGATGAGGCCATGGCAGAGTGGGAGTGAGAGCCCAGCTCCTGCATGGCGTAGCAGTGACAGGGCCGCCGGAGTGTGAAATCGCAGCGCCCCAGGCCCCGTGGCAGAGGGAGATACAGTCTGTCAAGCTGCGTCGGCTCCCTTGGGGCTCACAATCGCTGCGCTTGGCCTGGGGCGGATCTTCACCAGGGAGGAGGAGAGCAAGCAACCAAGCCCTACCCCTGCCTGCCTTTGCAACGTGCCCTCAAACTACCCCTCTCCTCCAAAATATGCTCCCGAAATCCCCCAGCCCCCCGTGTGCCTCAGCCAGGCAGCACCTCGTACCCAGGGGGATTGTGTCCCAGGCTGACCTCCTTGATCCTCGCTCCTCCCCTGCCCACCTGCGTGTTGTCCCCAGCCCAGGAATGTCCCCCAGCGTGCACCCGCCTTTGCTTACACTGAAAAGCCCCCTTGGTGTCTACAGGAGACTTTTCTGTGCACAGATCTTTACAAGACTCCATCCCAGGGGCACAGATCTGGCTTGGATTGAAAGTGCAAAGGGCCAGAGGAGAAAAGAGTGAAAGGGCACTGATGTTTCCCCTTTTAAAAGCTCCCACTGCCCCGAGGACACATCCTGCCAGTGACTGCTCTGCAAGCAGGCCAACTGTTGTATGTTCTTCACTCTTAGTGACGGTGCTCTCCATCACCTTGCTCCCTCCATCCTCTCCAGTGCACACCCAGACCTGTGGCTCCTCAGCACCATGTCTCATTCTCCAGGGTTCAGATCTGGTTTTGCTCAGTAAACGTGCAGGGCATGGGCAAAGCAGGCCACACCAAGCAAGCCTGGTCCTCAAACCATTGGAAGGGACTAAAAAAATCCTTTAATAGTCTTAGGCATTCCTGATCAGGAGCATGTGAAATGTTCCACCACCAATACCCACTCATCAAAGCCTGATGCTTGAGACCTGAAGAGATGTATTTCAGTGCTGCAGGTGGATCTCTTCCATTCCTACTCAACAAAAGTCACATCTTCTTTTTCTTCATTCCATGGGAAAGAAAGGGGCCAGCCACAGTTGTTGGCAGGCTGTCAGCTGAGGGAAGCAACACTAGTGACCTGCCCTACCCAGGAGATCCCTAATAGGGCTTTACTGCTGGACTCATGTCCTTCCAGCAGCTACAGCATCTGGACTCCTGGTAAGGCCTCTACTGCCCACTGTCCTGGATCAAGGCTGGGAGAGGAGGAGATAGAAATCCAAAGGGTGCTCTGGCTCAAGGTGACCGAGTCCCATGTGCCCCCACTTGGCAGCTGAGGTCCTCTGAGACAGGCCTGAGGACTTGGTCCCTGAAGGTGCCTGCCCCTCACCAGTGACTGCTGGACAAGCTGAGCCCACAGGCTCACATCCCCCCTCCTGAAGTTAGGAGTAGGATGCAGTCACCAGCTCCCCATGCTAGATCTCAGCCCAAGTGCGTTCTTTGGTTCCCCATGCCCTGCAGGGGAGGAGCTGCCCTACAGCACATCTCCCTCCCTGCCAGCAGCATTTCCAGGGGATAGTTTGCATCGTAGCAATGTCAAAGCAGCCCCAACACAGTCTCAGCCCCACCATGGGCACTGCAAGGTTCCAGGCAAGTCAAAGTCCCAAAAAACCCCGGTCACTGCCCACCAGTTCCATACCTACCATGATTTCACTTCTCCTTCCAGGCAGTGTGCCCAGGCGCTTGCTCCCTCACCCCTGTGCCATGCCAGCAGGAATGGCTGAGAGAGGGCTGTGGCTGCACTGAGGAGCTGTGAGAGGCCGGCCATTCTTGTGCCTGTGGCTCAGCTATTCCCACTCCATCTTAATCAAAATAAAACTCCCCAGTCGAGTGGGGGCATGCCAAGCACTTCCCTGTCTCAGCAGAGCCCTGAGCCACAAATGGCACAGAGAGCTCAGCACCCTCAGCCTCGCTGCTTGCCCTGAGCAGGCTGCACTCGCCCTGCTCGTACCTGCTGGGGGGCTGGGTCAAACAGCAGCACATCTCTCCATGTCCCACTTCAGCTCACCCTCTGCCTCTCACACGCCCCAGGTGAGGACCAGGGCTGGGCTGCAGGCATGGGAGTTGGAGAGTCAAGTGTCCAGCAGCGGGAAGGGATGGAAAGCTGTGATGCAGAGCCATGACCCACAGCAGGGAGAAAAATAAAAGCAAAGGCTCACTCCAGTCCACATCTGAGCTCCACAGTGGAGAGACCTGGCAAGGAGAGGGCACCTGGAATCTTCACTGTCCCCAGTAGGCAGCTCTCAGAAGTGCAAGTGTAGAGTCTAGGGCCAAGAAAATACCTTGTCTTGTGGGCTGGTGGGGCTGAGGACATTCATGTAGGCAGAGGATCCCCACACAACCTCTGGTGCTCTGTCAGGATACCTATCCCCAAACCACCTCCCTGCTCCAAAGGCTTTGCTGTTCCTCTTGCCCTGGGGTGTTTCCACTTGCTAGTCTCCTTTTCCCAAAGAGGTGTGCTTCTCGATCATTCCAGTTTTCCTCACCTCACAAATGCCCCCACTGTACTTCCCCCATGTCAATCATCTCTCAGGGAACCCCAGCCCCTATTTCTGTGGGTCCCACCACAGGACTGTCACCATGCCCCTCTTCATCCTGTCTCTTCTCCATGCTTGGCCTGAAGTGCAGGGTGAGAAGTGGTTCCCAGCATCTGCTGTACCACACTTACAGCTTAACTCTGTGAGCCCAGTCAAACATGCACGCTGGGGAAAGCCCAAAGCAAGTAACCTACACAGTGCTTTCAACATGGAGGGCAAGATATACCTTAAAGCTCAGGAGCTGACAGAACGCATTCCAGTACATGGAAAGAAAACTTGTAGAAAACTTGGAGCCCAGGGATGGCAGCTGTCATGCCCTCCTGTGAATGAAGCACTCCCAGGTCCTGTTACATGCAAGGACGTTGCAGCCTCATTGCTGCCACTGACATTACCCTATTCCTCCCATTTTCTCATCCCTCCTTATCAGGTTCTACAGATCTTCCCTGCCCTCGTCCCAGCTTGTCCACCTCCTCCTGGGCCAAGAAGATATGTTTGGATTTGATAATGCTTACTCAAGGAGAAAACCAGTGCTGAATACCTGAACGGCACTCACATGTGGGCATGCTCGTGAGCACGGCTCAGGTTCTGGGCATCAGTTTCGCCCTTTTCATCTCCCCCATCTTTGCCTCCCCTACCCTTCATAACTGTGCTTGATCGTTTTTGGAATAGCAAAAGTTAAAGCTTGGTGAGTAGTTCAAGCTGTTTGCATCTCAGAGCTGAATACGCTTGATAATCGCACAAATGCATAATTAAAGAGCAGAAAAAATGACTCACTGGATAAGGAAATGCGCTTTTCTTATCTCCTCCGCAGAGAAATGAAAACCCCAGGAGCCTGGGTCTCTGGCTAAGTCCTTTTATTAAACAAATAAACCAGAAAAGATATCAAATGAGTGATTCAAGAATTATGTCTTCATCTCAGAGTCAGACAGCTCGATTTCCAGTGCCATTTGCTCCCATCCCACACCTGGAGGGTGCCTTTGCCTGAGGTCAGCTGAGATCCCTGGGATCCCTGTGGGGGACAGGGCAGTGCTGGTGCTCCAGGAGCACAGAGGGCTGGCAGTGGCCTGCGAGGGCCCGTGCACACATGAGTGACTGGACTCGTGTGAGCAGTTCCTCTGGTGGCAGGGGGAGGTGAAGTGACTCACGCACGCACTTGCAAAACCGCGTGTAGCAGAAAATATCCCCCGAAAGTTCACCTTGTGCTCGTGCACACCGGAAACCCAGCGGCTTGTCAGTCAGAGAAGCTGCGAGGTGTTTACTGAGCAGACCCAGCTACCTCAGGACAAACCTCTGACAGGATGCACCCAGCGCCTCGGGAACACCTCGGCACAGCCTGACACCTGTGCTGCACTCAGATGGTCCAGCAGAATGCCTTGGCTGGAGCCAACCCCAAAGCCCACAGAGCACCTCATCCCAGCATCCCTTCCCAACACTCCTTTGCTGGCTGGTGGGAAATATCCCTTCCCAAAAAGTACCACTACGCCTATTAGGAGCAGATTTCTTATAGCTCCAGCATAAACCTTCTCCTTGGGATCCACTGGGATCCTTCCTAAAGCCAGGTGGGCTTAGGGACAAAATCCAGGAAGATTTTAGGAATAATACAGAAAACCAAAGGTTTCAAGAGATTCACAGTCACTCTAAATCCCAGAGTCTTCTGTAGGTGCTCTGCTTCCAATCAAGAGGGTTTGTGACGCTGTTCAGCACCTGCACGGGGTGTTTGGTGTGGGGCAGTGCCCCACCCTGTTGAATGGAATTTGTCTCCCTGCTCCTTGTTTATATGTCCCTGGAGCTCTTCTTGTCTGCAAGGCTGAAGAAAAAAGGGCAGGTGTCCTTGCCTCCCTCTGCAAAGGGACCTTGATAATGCTGAAGACACAAACTAGGCTTCTCAGTGGGCTGCCTGTTGAAGAACCCTCTGGGGTACAGAAGGGTGGGTCAACTCTTCCTGAGCCCAGACTCCCTCTGCCCATTCCCCCTCCCTGATCCACAGAGCCCAAGAGGGACACAGCAGCACAGAGGACATGGGAAAAACCTCCCTTGTGTGATCCAGCCCTGGAGGGGCTGAGCCCTTGATCTCCCCCGGTGGGGAGGAGTGAGGGATGTTTCCAGCCCGTGTAATGGCTGCTTTTGCTGCTCTACAGAGTCGGGGGGGGGGAGACTTAGTGAAATTTGGGTCCCTGGCACTGCCCTGGCTCTTGCAAGCTCCCCCCGCACCATGAGCAGCAGAGCGTTAGCTGAGCCTGGCTCCTCTGCCTGAATGTGAACAGGCAGTACTCAAACTGCCTGCCCACTCTGCCTTGCAGCAGGGACGCTGCCCCCACCCCCATCCTGAGGAGAAGTGGCATCTTGTTCTGTCTCCCTTGGGCAACTGGGAAGGGGGGGCAAGTGCCCCCCCAGTTTTGCCTGTAGCTGTTCATAGGGAGTGCTCACGTGCTGTGACAGGGCCAGGCAGCACCTCCAGCACCAAAACAGAAACCAGTGGCTGAGGGTGATGTGCAGCCACAGGAAAAACCTCAGAACAGGTGGGTTCAGCCAGGTCAGGTATCCTTTATCTCCCCAGTACTCACAGTGGGAAACCCCACCACTGCATTTTCAAGGTATGAACCTCCAGCAGATGACTCCAGAGCCAAAAATCAAAGCCACACTTACCCCAGTACCTCTGCAATATCCTCTGGCTTCCCACAGACCTTTAGGTCCAGAGTGGTGTAAAAAGGTCAGAGTGATTTTACTGGCACAGGCTTGAGTGCAGAGTAATGCTATGAATTTCCAGGAGTGTATTAAGGATGCAATGTTACAAGAGAACTGACAGGTGGATTTGGCCTGTGCACCTCCTCTCCTGGCTGGCATCTGGGCACAATGCCTTGGCCATCCTGCCAAACTCCAGAGAAGAATCCG